TCTGTCAAATCGATAACCACACAAAAGATTTGTTCACAGAATATGTTTATGTGTGTATATGTATATATATATATATATATATATATATTCATATATATTTTATATCTCTCTGTGTGTATATGTATATATACACAGACATGCACACACACATAAACATATCATATATATATATATATATATATATATAATCATATACACGCATTTATGTTGTGTAAACAAAAACTTTAATGTTAGATGTGATTAATTGTGATTAATTAATTTGACAGCACTAAAATAAATCTTTCTAAAATTTGGGGTCTGTGAGATTAGAGTTTAAAATGTTCTTAAATGTAAAAGTCTCTTATCTGATGAAAAATACAGTAAAAATAGTAAATATTCTTACAATTTAAAATCTGAAGAAATTCAGTTACTCTAGTCTTTAGTGTCACATGATCCTTCAGAAATCGTTCTAATATGCTGATTTGCTGCTTAAGAAACATCAAATTGTTATCAAAGTTTAAAACAGGTGTGCTTAATATTTTTGTGTGGAACTGTGACACATTTTTTCAGGATTATTTGATGAACGGAACCTAATGATTATTATTATAATGGATTTGCACTGTAAGTATCATAGTTATGATAAATTCTGTTCGGTGATTGAGTACACCACACATATTCACTGACTTGCCAGCTGGTAGTAGCCTACCTGTATTAACATTAGTCTAAAACATGGTAGACTAATGTTAATACAGCTTACAAAGGTCTGATTTGTAGAAAACAATTCGAATTACCACAAAAACTCAATAGTCGTTATTCTTCAGGTTTTGCAGTATCTATAAAACAAGCATGAGGAATCCCTGACCAGGTTAGTAATGAGATGATAAAATGACTGGGCAACATAAGTCTGGCCTTCACCAGATCTTCTCATTGATCTCCTCAGAAACACTTGACATGGAGCGCCTGGGAGGAGGAGCGAGGTTAGGAGTGTCATGGGCCTGAGGGAGACTCGTCGTCAAGCAAGGTCGGTAACACACTGTCTGTGTGCCATCAATCACACGCCTCTGCCCTTCCCCCCTTCCTGCCTGCCTCTCACGCAGCCTTCCACGCATTTCAGCCAAGCTCACTCTGTTAAAACAATCTCAGCACCTTTATTGGGCTGCCTCATTTACTGCCTTCATGCAATTACAGGCTGAGGGTGGCCATCTTGTTTGCAGTGGATGGCTACGACTACCTTCCTTGCAGGGCAAACTGGTTCTTATGCCATTATATATGCACAATCAAAGTGACAGTACAAACTTATTTCATTTTCTAACACTTTCTAACAAATGTGAGGTCCAAAAAATGAAAAAACAGTTTGGTACAATAGAATATACAGATATAGATGGAAACGTGATATGTGAGATATTAACAAATTAAAATACATAAAAAACACAAAAGCCAGTATGAAGTGATCATATTCCCCAGGTGGGAATTTTAAAAGGCTTTCAGTTTTTTTTTAAATCAATCAATCATTGTTTGTAATAAATTGTATTGTTTTCTCTCTATATAATGTTCACCAGATCACACATCAAATGTTAAAATCACATCCAGTTTCCACCTCTGAAGAGAAAATCTCTTTGCAAGAACTATAAATAAGGAGATAGAATGGCGTTCATACAAGGAGGGCTCTGAAAAAACCCAAAATGCAATCTGGACTTGCAATCTCCTTTTTCAATCAAAATTATCCATCCAGTGCCTGTGAAGTTTATATCATGTCCATTCAAGGTGATGTTTTATTAGTGGTTAAATCATTAATAATTTTAAAACTGATTTACAGGACTCCAAAATGTGCAGGCAGTGCAATGGACAGTGTGTTAAGATATTAAAATATCGAAATATTCACTTAGGCCCTAAATCCTTAACATCAAAGGCATGCGAGTCACCACTTCATTTAGAATGCATCACTCTGACTTATGACCTCCTAATATTACCACGAGACCAGCTCAGATATATGTGTTGTATGTGCCAAATTCCTCAAGAAACTTCTTCTGAAATATATAATTATTCATGCATTTAATAATGTCTCGAAAATGAAAGATAACATGCCTAGCTGATCCAAGCTATTACTCAGGCTATATATATAGTTTTACTTGTGTCTTTCAGTGTCTTTACAATTGACATCTGAAAGATAGTGACGTTACAAAACTCTATTTGAAATGTATGGGCATTCACTTTACAGAAATGTATTAAAATTTATTTTAAAAAAAATAACATTATATGTTTATAAATAGTAATATGTGTAAAGAAACATCTTAGAGGACAATGCACAGCTACGCTGCAGCTCTTTCCTGTTTCCTAAAAGTGCACTGCCATCTTGTGTTCAAAACGAGAACATCAAACAACTAATGTTTTGGAAAAGAGGTGTCTCTTCGGTTCTTAAAAAATGCTAAATATCAAACTCCATTAACTATTCATTAAATATATAATACATTTATTTCACCTCTTTATTGCACAAACTGAGCTACCAGTTAGCCTTAGTATGAGAGACAAATTATTGTAGGAATCATTGAAAAATGATAGGCATTTAGCATCTGCTTTTCAGCTTCATGGCCAAGCATTCTAGTTTCAAGTTTCTGTGAGTCAGCAAATGAAGAGTGCCGTTTACTCCAGCTGAATGTGTGTCGGCCTACTGAGACTCCAGGAATCAAAGCAGAATAACCCTGAAAAGCGATTGCAGGCATCAGACGAGCATGTGAAGGATAGCCTGTATTTCACACGCAGATGCTTTATATTATGCATGCGAATATTATGATATTATATAACATGTCTCTTGGAAACCAGACACAATCGAATCGCTCTTCTGAACCGGATCTTTTTGACGAAATGTCTGAACTGATTACAACAGACCGGACGAATTGTTCGAAACGAACAAACAGATCGAGTGATTCTCGATCGATTCTCGATCTGTAGCAAACCAAGAACCCACGAGTGAGCTCAGCTGACGGTGTGAATTGACTGATCGGCGATACATTTTTACTAGTATCCTATTTTCAAAATCATTACAAATAGAACATACTGCGAATATTGCTTTGATTGTACGACACTACAAGTTCGTTTGAAAGAATATCACTTATTTATGAAACGTAAATGAATGAATCACTGAATCGATGTTTCGAACTGGTCGAAAGAGCCTTTTCTCGGAAATGAGTCAGACTACTTCATTTCGCAATCGTGTTGCTTTTCACCATGCGTGTTTAACGAACACGTATCGCATTGGCCAAGATTCGATTGACACACGCATTTAACCAATAGAAACTAAGACGATGAATCCGATGAGGAATGTGAACCAATCAGAGCTTCAATCGCTGTACCGTTACCATGACGTTTGACTTCTCACATCGACCTTCAAAGCGTTCCCATTACAGATGGGGATTTTAGTTTTTTAGAGTATCAGAGACATGATTCGGAATCAGTTATAGAACTTCATTTCCCACAATGCAGCGTGCCTCTCCAAAGCACCCATGCTTCTGTTTTTGTTATTGTTGTGAGATGTTCGTGGCACAGCTCATCTCGGCGAATGTGTCGGTGTAAATTACACTTGTCATCAGTCTCATACATGTTTTCTCCTATATGACCGAACAACGTTTTTCAAGAGGACATTGTTCTGATTATCTAATCTAAATTGGGTGAGTTTTGTTATACGACGTTTGCGTTTTTTCCACAAAGGAAAAAAGAGAAAAAAAACTGCAGCATGTTCAGTAGCACGCAGCTAAAGACAAAGCATGCCATGTTTATAACATCTAATCCTATTTGAGGCAGTCCCACGAATGTGTATTGACTATAACAATGTTTTAAGGCTGTCATGTTTTTCTTTTTTAACTGCTGTAACAAAGTGTCAGATCTGCTTATGCATTGTTTTTCTTCTTGTTGTCATGCTGTACCGAGTAACTTGAGATAGTTTCTAACTTTGGGCCTCGCTTGCAGTAGCCATCCACGATTGTTTGCAATGCAAAGAAAGATTTTATTTTCGAAGTCAGCAATTATTATGCCACAACAATCAGGTGTCACGTGTTAAGTAATATTAAAAGTACATTAAAATAAATGTTGTTTATCCAGTGTGTTTTAAAAAAACTAAAACTAATCTCATTTCACCATCTATTTTATTTTAAACGACTCATATCCTGAAGAATCAAATTATCCTTGGTATTTATTTTAAGATTAAGCTTGACACTGAACACTAGAGTTAAGCTGCAAGTTTCTGACATCAGATAGATGACGTCAGAAAACGTCCTTGGTCTGTTCATGGAGACTCTAAATATGGGTTTTGTAGTTTATTATAAGGTGCTGCTAATGATGGGCCCACCTGTCATTACTTGTAGTCTATACAGTTCACACAGTCAGTCACCGCATTTGTGGCACATGACAGCCTGTCACAAATGCTCTGTAAGAGCTGATATGTGTCCAGGGTGAGAGAGTCTGCACGCCTCATCATAGTTTAACATAAACCGTACCTCTTCACTTGCGCAACACATTCACCTCTCCCCAACTGTCCTCAGTGAGCCACTTTAGTAATATCCATACATGTTTAAAATTCATTTTAAAGTTGTGTATATTTGTGAATTTGGATAGAGACAAAAAAGGCATACATATAGATAGAGATGACTACACATATAGATAGCATAAGACAAAACAATCACTGTATTTGCCTTTTACCTAAGCCGGACTTAAAAAAAGCACACAAGTAACGTCTTTGAACTTTTTCTTAACATCAGGATTTTAGGATAAAATTTAACCTATTGTTTTTTGTATTTATTATGTATTTTACTAAGTATGTATTACGTTTTTTTTTTTAATCATTTTTAGTAACTTTGTTGCAGTTTTTTGGCTTTTTTGTTGGTAAAGTAATATTTCATGTAATGAAGCCATAAAACGGCATGCATATTATTTGAGAATGAGAAATAATTTTAGACTAAATAGTTTTAGACTAAATATTTCCATTTTAATTTTTAATAACTACCTAGGTGCATCACTATTCTGTTGACATGGAGAAGACATGCGGAGTGGAGTTTCGCAATGTCGGAAGTTGCTACTTCCCACAGAGCAGAGTGGACTGCCACTACACCATAAACTCACAGCACACATGGGCCAGTAATGACTGGATTGGACTATTTAAAGTAAGAGAGAGCCATCTCCAGGACTTTTCAGCACTGATGTGGCTCTTTTTCTTTATTAAAGTTGATCTGTTATCTTTTACCCCCAGGTTGGCTGGTCGTCAATCAAGGAGTACCATACATTTGTGTGGGCAGTAGCACCATCCAACTACAAAGAGGGGACCTCCGTGAACTGCTGTGTTAATTTCCAAGGTCTCTGAAGCATTGATTTTGGTGTTCAAGCTCTCTTGAAAGTCAGCTGATGGTCTTAATACAGTATGAATAAAGAATAGTGTGCTTTAGGGACATTTAAAGAAGCTAATTACAGTTTCTTTCATTGATTCACCCAACTGCTGGGCTCATGCATTCAGTACATTAGCAAATGTTTGTCCTCAGATGACCTGTGAAAGAGATAAAATGCCACAAATGATTTCGCCTGTAGTTAATTATTAGTAGGGAGGGGTATGATGCTCCAAAATTACCCTAGATCAACTTGCTTCTCTAAAAAATAAACCTAAAATGCTTGTTTTGGCATTGCTTTAAAAATAATGAATTTATTAAAAACCCTGTAAAACCCTAAGACAGCCCACTAAATTGTAGTGTATCGTGTGTGAATAAAGAAACATGTCTGATCAGTGTCTAGTGGGCCCTATTTATTCAGGGCTTCCAAGTGGTTAATTAATCTTTAAGACAACCTAATGACTAGCTTATTTCTGAAAAGCACATCCGTTGTAATTAAACTGCAGGGTGTGGGCGCGCTATAGATTGCTATTTTAAAGTAACATGCACTACCATTCAGAAGTTTTTTTTAAAGTCTTTTATGCCAACAAAGGCTGCATTATTCAGTAAAACCAATAATATTATGAAATATTACAATTTAAAATAAATTTTAACATATTTTAAAGTGCAATTTAGTTCTGCTTTGGTGCTCAAGTAACATTGCTGATCATAATGTTGAAAACATCTGCTTATTTAAACCTGTGATTTTTTTTTTGGACTCTTTGATGAATGTTATTTTCAAAAGAACATCACTTATTTTAAATATAATTTTTTTTTCTAACATTTTAAATACCTCTGCTGTCACTTTTTTATCAATTTAATGCATCCTCACTGAATAAAAGTATTAATTTATAAAAAAAAAAAAACAAAAAAAAAAAACGTTGACCCCAAAACTATGAACAGTAGTGTTAGACCGAGTTTTTGCAAGCACGTGTGAAAGTATCATCTGGGCTGAGATTTGCACAGTGCAGAATGGTAGCATTGTATTTTGTGGTGAGTATTGGTGATGGAGTCAGAGTGCGTTTAGGAGAACCCAGATGAGGTCATCATCACCAGTGGCCCTGGCGCCATGTGATTGGTTATTCATAGTGAAAGCAGTTTGGAGATTTTCTACACAGACAGGAAACATTCAAATACAATTTTCCTATATTAAAAATCTGAGACCACACAATTGTTTTGTTAATAGGTTTTTTTGGGCCTGTGTATGGCCTTTCACAGTATCCTTTTCTCTCTCCCCTTCAGCATCCTACCTACCAGGGCCTAGTACTCAGCAGTACCAGTTTGTGTATGTGGATGGAAGGGGAGAGGCTTGTTCGCGCAGCACTGCCTTTACCTTCTCAGCCCCAAAGCCCATGGAGGAGCTGATGACTCTGGAGGAGGAGGGGCAAGGAGAGGAAGTGGGCGAAGACATGTTGCTGGTCATCCCCAGAGCCCAGCTACTGCAGGTCAGATGAACTCACAGAAAATGCGAAGACTGTAATTCAGTCCATCATTACACAAATGATGTGTTTCACAATAAGACAATGCCAGATTCTAGTATAGACAGTTGCCTAGGGCTGTAGCATTCTCTCCGTATGCATGATAAGGGATAATCCACGACTAGCTGTAATAGCGTTTTAATGCATGATGTGGAGGAAAAGAACCACACAACACATGCAATTCAGCAGAGTGCATTCCAATGGTTTAGCGCAGAGGTAGCCATGGATTATCCTGCTTATACCATGGCCATTTGCCAACATAAACAAGTTATTGATGTTTGCAGCACAATATTTGACCAAAAAATAATAGAAAAGGTAGGCAAAAAAGGTAAAAATAATGGATCATTTGTTCAGTTACGGCTCATTAGATCTAGCATTTTGCCCACTTTAAATCAGACACAGAGACAAAGAGATTACAATTATAAAGTTATTTATTATAGCATGTATTTGAATTAATTATCAAGACAGAGAGAGATGCGCGTGTGAATTGCCTGAGTCTGTGCAGCATCCTTCTACTAATAATGAAGCTGCGCATTTGGTGTTACTCACTTGTTGAGAAATGATTCAGCAGCATGGCTACTTTATCAATAAAAGTCACAGGGCAGCATTGATAAGTTTCTGTGCTCCTGAATGTGTGTGTGTGTGTGCACTTAAAGGCACACTATGCAAGAATTGTACCTTAATATAACAGCTTCAAAGTCATTTTGGTAGTAAACAAACTCATAGTAGGGCGAATCAACCTGGTAGTAAAGCTTGGGGGGGATGCCGCTGGAAAAACCAGCAATGCAAGTTTGAGAGGAGCGCCCCTGACAAATCTTGCAAGAAGCACAACGTGCTTTACAGCAACAACGTCACACACATCAACAACAACATATGAAGCACAAAGATACTTTTGTGGATTTCAGATGTGATACTCGACGATGGAGCAAAGCAAAGAAAACTCGCTTGGAAAAGACTAGGAAAAGAGAATGAGCCTCTCTGGTCAAACCGTAAATAAATTCATCAATCCGGAAGTTTTGTTTGAGTTATTTAATGGTCTAGTGGTAGATCTCTTGCAAAGTGTGTCAGAGGTTACAGGTTCTAAGTTTTTTTCTCTTTCATCAAAAGTTAATATGTTCATCAGTGGTTACAGTCTATATCAAGCAGAGACACTTTTTTGTGCATTTTATTTTGTGATTTCACCGGAATGACTAGAGAGTCTTCGCAACAGCGAAAGATTGAAGAGCATGTCCGAGTGAAGACTGCACGCCACAGAGAACACTGGATCCATGACACTGATAGCAGCGGACACGAGCGCTCGACTTGAGTTCAAAAACACATTTTAGCACTAGATCTCTTATTTAATGCAAAAATTGCACACTATGCAAGATTTGTACCTTAATATAACAGCTTCAAAGGGGTATCAGGCATTGAGTGCAGAGACCAGTCTATGGCAGAGACGCTCTGCGTCAGTGGTATTTACGACTGTAATGTTAAATACAAATACTCCACAGCGACTCTAGGGGTTTCTGTTTGACACACACACACACACACACACACACACACACACACACATATATATATATATATAGATATAGATAGATAGATAGATAGTTCAATTAAACAGTATATATTATCATACTTTATAAATAAATATGTAAAACAAACAATATTGGTAGTCTGGTACAAGTGTGTAATTGTAAGCATGAAGCCTAAATGATAATGGTCTCAAGTTTTTATCACAGTGAAAAAAGGCTTTTTAAATTAACACCATTTCGCTGTATTTTTTTTATTAACTTCCAGGTTATAATAGATTTTTTTTTTTTTTAGCTAAACTACAGTATGTAGTACTACAATAAAAGGGATATCTCATACTTTTGGACAGCTCTGAGATGCACTGTTTGTCCAAGAAAGGGTAAAAATAGAAAAGATGTCCCAGACAGTGTATTGATACTTTAATTCATACAGACCTCAGACAGAGAGTCTCCTTTTAACATTTCCACAATGTGCAGTTTTGTTGTGTGGTTTGAGAATCACATGAACAGCTTAGAGCTTTCCAACCAAGTCAGTAATGCTGTTTTGTTACTGATATCACATAATGTGAATAAGACATTTAAGATAATTATTTAAATTATATAAACTTCACAATAAACTTTAGGGCTATGCAAGAATACCGATACCTATAAATTTATCACGATAGTTAGCGACGAGAATATTTTTTGTGCGCAAAAAACAAACAAAAATAACAACTTTATTCAACTATTCATTTCCTTCTCTGTGGGCCTCGAGATAGTTCACTTAGTGTAACTGCGCAGCGCTTCTGGGTTGTACGGCCGGCGCTGGTCATGTGTGTGATGCACGTGACGTACAACCTAGAAACGCTGTACAGTTACATATATAATATTGATATATTTAAATAATTTGTTTTATATTTTATTTACCATATAAGGTAAATAATTAACATTTGAATCAATAGACAGACCTCATTTAAAACTAGGTTTTCTTCATTTGTATGTTTTATTAATATCTGTATCTTTCTCTGTCATTCTTCCAAACAGAGACGTCTGCAGGAGTGTTTGAAGGAGCGTGCTGAGCTGCTCCAGGCTCTTGAAGCAGCAGACCAGAACGTAGAGCGGGAGAAAGGCAGGAGAGAGAGAGACAGAAGCTCCTGGGAGCAGAGCCGCAAGGAGCTGGAAAGGAAGATCGGCGAGCTGAAGGAGGAAGTGAGAGAATATATAGAGAAAGTAGAGGAGATGAAGAAGAAGCAGAAGGTAGTGTAAACACTCATTCCATCAGCCTGTGTGGTCAGCCCTGGGTCATGGTTTTGTGTATGTTTTGTCTTTACTGTGTTTACTGTGGTGTATATGTTCACATACACTGGCGGAAAGCTAACTGCTAAACGATTTTTAGTGTTACAGTCTAGTTTAAACACCTCACTACCACCACACCTCTCTCTTTTAGGAAGCTGAGGATTTAGGTGAGGCCCTGACAGAGGAGAAGAGAGCCCTGCTAACTCAAAAAGAAGCTAATGAGCAGCGAATCAGAGAGCTAGAAGAGGACATTAAAGTACTGACCCAGAGAGGACTGGAAAGAGAGACTGACCTAGAAAGGTGAGAGGCTTTGTGTTTTCTACCCTTTGAAGTATCTTTGAATCAATACCCAGCCCTACACATAGTGCAGGGTGGTTTGACCAAAAATTGAAATCACGTTTTTTTTTCTTCAAAATTAAGTTGGTTTTCCGAGTTTTTTTTTTCCATGCATAATCAGCTGTTCAAGGCATTTTCTACTGGTTGAGAGAGGAATTAATGCAATAAATTGACTTAGGATGGTCTATTTTATTGTCATTAGTTAATACTGTAGATTAGAATAGCGCCCAGTATAACCTAGAATTGTTATTTCTTAACATTCTAATAACATTCTGAAAACCAAGCAGAACGTTAATATAACGTCTAAAAAAACTAGACGTTTTGAATGTTCCTAGAACATTTTTATAACTTAATGGGATAATTAATGGGGTAACCCAGTTATCAAAACTTTATTTTTATTTTATCGAAATTAATTTCAGTGCATCAATATTTACTAAAATAAACAAATACTAAATAACACAAAGTTATTTGTTTGTGATTCACACTACATTGATTGTGTTGTATGTTTGTTTACAACTAATGTGCTAGTCTCTACTAATCTCTATTTGACTAAACTCCAATACAACTAATGAGCTAATCTCTACTAATCTCGACTTGACTTATCTCCAATGACTAATCTCTAAGATTTTCTTTGAATCATGAATAAACACTGAACATAATTTAGCAAGTAGAACATAAAAGCAAGTAGTTCTCCTGTATTCTCTGGGACACATCAGGACATAATTGTTTCTGATCGAATTGATAATTGATGTGATTGAATTATATACAAGACACATTGGACCCCTTCTAGAGGTCGGTTTAGTGTTTTGAGTGTGAACAGGGTCATATTGTCTCATATTGAGTAACATGGTTTAATTGGTTTCTGCGTAGGTTAAGGGAACGGGCCAAGAAAGCATCAGCTCAGAAGAAGGAAGATGAGGATGAACGCGAGAACCTGAAGGTTTTTCAGCTAACACTTACACACACTTGTACACAAATAAGCATAAACACAACTACAGTACATGGTCATTATTGTGCCATTGTTTTGTGTATTATACTAGTTAAAGATGGAACGAACAGAGAAAGAGCTGCACAGTCTTTCATCAGAGTTTCAGAGTCTGAGAAGTTCACTGGCCCAGAGAGATACACATGCTCTACAGCTCCGAGACACCATCACCACCCTCACACACAAACTCAACAGCGCTCACAGGAAGGAGGTAACACTCCTGCAGTTTTCACATCCCAGCTTTCACATTGGATATTCAAACCCAGATATTCATTGTCTCAGAACAGATACTTGATGCCATTTATCCATGAAGTTCATGTTATTAATAAGGGGTTTGGCTGATTAGCATATTCCCTGCTGTTAGATGTTGTGAATACACCATAAAGGGGCAGAAAGCATGTCTACTTTGATGACCATTCTGGCAAAATATATTTTTCGCTCAACATATAAATGTATTATGTTATAATGTACACTACTTTTCAAGGTTTTAGCATGGTGAGATTTTTTATTTTATTTTTAGCATCACTAAAATTTAGCATATTTTTTTAGCATCACATGATCCATCACAAAATCATTCTAATGTTTTTTTTTTTATCATCAATCTTGAATCTGCTTAATATTTTTGTTGGAAACCAATAAACATTTTTTTCAGGCTTCTTTGATTAATGGACTGTTCAAAAGAAAAAACATTTTTGAAATAGAAGTTTTTGTAACAATGTAGTCTTATCTATCACTTAAAAAAAATCTCAAAGACCCCAAACGTTTGAGTGGTCTATGTTTTGCAAGTGATTTGATTTTTATTTATTTTGATTAAATATTAACTGTATACAACTTCCCATCTTCTTCTAATTGGTCACACATTTTAGTCAGCATGAAATGCTGAGAAAACTGTTAGATGTGGTGCATTTGAACCATGTCTGTATAATAGAACAAATTGAACAAATAGAACAGATGGATGCTAGAAGACATGCAAGACTCTAGACTGACAGGATTGTATCTGTGTCATTGTTGATCAGGCAGCCAATGAAGTGGCATTGAGTGAACTTCGGAGTGTTCAAGAGCGCCTGAACGTGAGTGAACGCTGTGTGGAGACTCTGAGGGGGGAGCTGAGAGACATGGTTGCTCAGAGGGACACCACACACGCCGAGCTCCATCAGGCCCGTCTGCAGGCCGCACAACTCACACTTCAGCTGGCAGATGCAAGCCTCTCTCTGAGAGAGGGCAGAGCCAACTGGGCACAGGAGAGAGAGACCCTGCAGCAGAACACTGAGGTAGTGTGAGCAAAGATATTTTTTTAAAACACAAAGGCAACTTTAAAACTGTCGTTAATTGAAGTTACTGCATAAACTGTCAGATAGACAAAGTCCGCCTGGAACGCCTTAATGACGAGATCCAGCAAAAGGAGGCGATGTTGCAAGAGGCAAGGATGGAGAGAGAAAAAGCAGTAGTGGAGCTGGGACGAGAGAAAGACTGCAATCGGGTATAACACATTTATTTGAAACAACGACATGTAGCTGTAAAAACTCAGTCAAAAGTCAATATTTTTAGTGCCATCTGTTTCAGTGTTAACAGCACACGTTGTAAGAGTTAACATGGTCAACATCACATATTTGCTTACATTTGATTAGTGACCTAGAAAAAGGCCATTTACAGATTTATATAATGTAAATTAAGGTATGAATTACATTTGCTATTTAAAGTGAATCTAATTATTTAAAGACATTTTTCGTGTGTTTTCAGGTTCAGTTAAGCGAGACTCGTCGTGAGCTGCAGGAGCTGAAGGCCAGTCTCAGAGTGGCTCAGAAAGAGAAGGAGCAGCTGCAGACAGAAATACAGGCACGATCTCTGCTGTTCTCACAAAACTCACCGTGCTATCATATTCTCATCAAAGCCATCTTAAAAGTCTGGTTCTCACAGGTCAATCAAAAAGTTTAAAAAGCTTTCTCACTCTCAGTGAAGTTGTCTTCAATTCATCAGTAAACAACCCTCTGAGCCTGAAGGCATAACAGAAACATGCTGTTGTACCAGTCCTAACCTCCAGAAGCAATCTTGTCTCTCAAGAGAATATTTTACTCTCTGTGTGTCTGACAGCGTGTGGCTCCTGGTTTAAAGCAATATTCCACATTGTAAATACACTTAGATTGGAAACCGAGCAGGGGAGTGGGCAGATGGATTTAAACACGGAAATCTGAAGCTTGTATTTTTGGTGTCCTTTGCATGAATTCTTAAGTAAATAAATCTTATGTGAGCTATAAACGTTAAATGATCCTTTCTAGGTTGAGGAACATCTGGTTAGTATGTTACATATGTAATGGCCATGAATGGAGTTTGCAGAACATCAACATAGGCGTGTGGTCATGCATATGCAGTTATGTGGCATTCCTTTATGGTATCCCTGTGGGGGGTACCAAGTTAAAGTAACTTTACATTTTTTGCTAGTCATGATGTAAGGTTAGAATTTGAATAAAACTTTATATAATGAAACTCAGGAGAGTTATATATGTAGGCTAATGTTATGTTATGTTTCTTCTTCAACATAAATGTGTATATCTTGAATTTTTTTTTTTCTTTTGCTCCATTGCTCTATGTTTTCCAACTGGCCGTTCACTGTAAATGCATTACTGAAAATGCATTTTTCATTCTGTTAAGGCCGTGACACACCAGGGCGACATCAAATAACTAGCAGCAATGAAAGTCAACTGCGTTGTCGCCGACGTGTAAAAACACACTGCAAAAACTAGCCTGACAGATGCTCACTGACAGCTTACTGCTGGCTTGGTGTATCCCAGACCTTATTAGACTGAAAATTACCTGGAATATTTATAATATATTAAGCTACGTTTTTAAACACACAGAAGTTTTACAAAGATTTTAAGCAGGGGTTTAAAATAAATATTAATGTGTATTATTTGAAAAGGTGACCAGTTTTCTCTATATCTGTGCTAAAATAAGAAAAAAGGAAACTGCAACAATGAATTAAGTAAAATAAACACAACATTACAAATACAAATCTACGTATACTTAAGATGAATGCACTCTGGATTTAGGGACAGGATGATGGACAGTATGGTATTTTAAACATAACAGTGTGACATTATTTCATTCGATACAATGTAAGGTTTGTTAACTGTGTGTGTGTGCAGGAAGTGATGGAGTACAGCCGTCAGCTGGAGAGAAGGCTGGAGGTGCTGAGCGATTCTAAATGGAGTGAGACGGCCCTGCTGCAGAGCAGTGAGTCACTGTGCTTTCTTTAATTCTGTACAAACATCACTACACAACGACACTATTGTGAGTCTCTCTCCTTTCTTTATTGCCCTCTCACAACAATACCACAGAACTCCAGGCGGCAGACAGCCACATCATAAAATACCACACACCACTGCACAACACTGCGTTATACGGCCCTGCACAATGACAAGACTTCACCACCGTACAACACAGCACACCAACCCCACCTCCCGGAAGCACACAACTCTGCCATACTGCAAAACAACATAATATAACACTGCTTTATTTTAGACTCATTAACTTTTACCTCAGACCGCTCACACTGACTTATTCTGCACAAAAATTGAACATTCTCCCGCAATGGAAAATGGCAATCTACAATCTAATTGGTTTGCATTACACAATTTCTAGTAGTAAAGTCAAACAGGTTTTTGGCCAGTGCAACCTTCAAAGTTGTTCAGCCCATAATGAAAAGTTACAACAGCAAGCATTACACAACAGTTTTAGTTTTCCAAATAAAGGAAAATCATACAAAGCAGTTGTGCTATAAAACAAGTGTCAAAAATGTTAGATTTACATTTGCAACTGTTAAGCTCTATAACTAATTACAGGCGTCTGTTGCATGAATGCAATGTCGACTTAAGCGTGTTTACATATAAAGGTTTGTCATATTGTTAAATTAAATCAGTTTCACATTTTTAGCTTATTTTGGATGTGTAGCTGACATGACGATTATGGTAAATTCTACAATATTATTTGTTATATTTATGCAAGTTATATTACATTCACATAATTCTGATATGATGATCACTATCAAAAACAATCAAAATATCTTTATAAAATTATTTGGGCAGCCACAGACCCTTATTTGGACACGTGTGAAAGCTCATCTGCCGTTCCTGGTTTCAGGTCAAGCAGAAAGCCCACTGCTGTCAGATTCTGAGGATGAGAACCCCGAGGCCTTGCAGGACGCACACTCTTCTGGGTCTCTGAACCACTACAGTCTGTGTGAGCAGCCCCAGGCCGACCTGCTGCTCCCGGCCACCCCGCCACCCTCTCCCAGACACCCCTCCAGCATGAACATGGTGGTCATCAGCCAACCTGCACCCCTCTCATCTCCACACCAGCCCAGTGCTCACACACACACTCACAGCTCTGAGTCGGTGAGAGTTGGTCATTAAGTCATCGCAGCATATCCAAATATGATATTTTTGTGGTTACATAAAAAACATTTAGGGGAAGAATTGGCTGTATTGTGACCTCACCCTCAAAGCCCCTTCACATCAAATCTGACAAAATGGCACTAAAGAAAGAAGCTATAAAATATTGGCTAACAATGCTGAAAGTTTTTACCCTACTTTACAAGCAACAAGTTCTGAAAGGGTGCTAAAGTATACAATTTATTTTTATTCTTTTTTCCAACATCCAAACAATAACCTACTCTCTGGATAATCAAGTTTTCACTGATATGAGAAAAAATAGATTTTTTTAATGCTTTCACCCTCATGTTCTGTTTAGGAAGTGTCTGCTGCTAGGGAAGTGAAGGATTTCAACACCCTTTATAAAAAGGCATTACTTGAAATTACTAAAAATTACTGTGCTTGAGCTCTCAAAGATAACATAAAACATAAATAATGCAATGAATTATCACAAGCTAGGATTCTCTGAATGGTGTACAAAGTGTTGTACAAAAAGTTGTTTGCTTTGTTTTACTGTGTTTTTTATTTTATCTTTCTACAATGCATTTTTGCTAGAACTTAACCAAACAGTCCATTATACTGCTTTATATCTTATCATATTACCATATTTATAAACACCAATTTTATTAATAGCGGCAAATGAATCAAAATATCTTACTTCCATGTTGAAAAATAAGGCGCATGCTCAGGTTTGATTAGGAATCTGAATGGGGTAAATCATTTAGAAAAGAATCACTTTTACATGCGCATCAAACAAATTCTCAAGAGAGAATGAGAATCAACCTAGGCTCAGAATAAAATAAAACTTTAGAATATTACAGAATAATATTTCAAGTTCAATGTGTTGGGAGTTCATAGAGATGCCTTGAGCTAGATGCCAAATTTTTTGTCAGTGTCAATCTCTGAATTGTTGCCGATATTTTTTGCCACTGATTAAATAAAAAACCCTTAGCTTTCAGGTAAAGAAAAAAAAACTACAGATGATTTCAGATTTATATTTCAAACTCAGTATGAAGTAATTCAGAGATACACTATTGCGTTCAAAAAATCTGGTTGTGCTTGTTCTTCAGACTTGTAGTGAATAGGCCCTTTATTCATGCATATGTGACTACGCGTGTTTTACAGGAGGAGGAGTACGAGGCTGCTTTGTCAGGAGGACACAGCTCTGGAGAGGAGACAGCTCTTCTCCTGCCTGACAACAGAGACGCTACCCTCGGGTACAGCACGCACAAACACACGTTCACTGTCTATAAACCCCATCAGTCACACTGTCGTTATCTGTGACCTGCAGACACAGGCTCAGATAGATTTTCACATATACTCTTACACAACCCACATGAGTAAATATGTCACTGTCGCAAACAATATTCGGCCCTTCTCTCTCCTCAACGCCTCTCTTTATATCTCCCTGTCACAGTCTGTCTCTTTTTCTGTCTTTGCACACTCGCACACGCTAATGCAGGCCTTTATTTATGGTGACAGTCCGAATATGGTGAGGAGATGGAAGTTTTGAATACCACCTCATAAAATTAGTGAGGGAGAAGAGAGTGAGAGAATGGATAGCGGGAGTTCTGTGAGGGGAGGACAAGAGGACAGATAAGTTGACAGGAAGCTGTAGCAATGATTTACTGAGAGGGTAGTCAGCGCTCACCGGCCAATTTTCAGCATCATTAAAACCCTTTCTCCCTCACTTCTCTCCTTCACCCTCTTTCTTTCTCTTCCTAACTCTACACCTCCACCCCCCTCCGTCTGTTTCCCTCTCTATCCATCTCTTTCACCCTCTGCCATCTATAAATGCAGCATTTCTTCCCAAACTAACGCTTGTCCTGTTGTGTGTCGTCATGCAGAGATCTGGCAGAGAGTCCCCTGTGGTGAGAAGCAGAACTGCAGGACCGGAGGGCCAGTGCAGCGTGGATGGCTTTGCACTAGTGCAACATGTGTTACGAGTTTTGTATTTAGAAGCATTTGCGCTTTACATTATATTGACATGAGTATTTAAATATGCAATTTGCTTTACACTTTATATGCACTTAGAATATGCATAAGCAATTAGACCTCTCTATGTCGCACGCAGTTTTACAGTAACTTGCACGGACGTGTTATTTTACACATGTCAACTGACAAGCAGAAAGTGTCTGTAACGAGTAGATCAAGGGAAAGGTTGTATTTACGGCTGAGGAAATAATGTGTGCGTTTCTGTGTGTGTGTGTTAGGGTCTTGATTTTCGTGTGTTTTATCTGAGTTCTGTCGTAAGGCTTGTATGGATATAACAATTACCATTAATCTGCATCAGCAATAATGCAAAGCACAATGTCATCAAGATTTTTTCAGATTTTAAATGCAAGATTTAGTTCGGGTGCTCTTCATTTTGTGGGTCTTGTGGTAGAAGTATTTTGAAATTTTGTTTGTTTGAAGAAAGGCAATGATTATGTGCAATGGGCTACACCAGTGACTGATCCTTCTGTTTAGATGTAAGAGTAAAGACTGGCACTTTTGATTCCTGTCAGGAAGTTTACCATCATCCTCATGTAAAATTCATATGTGCAAGATCTTCTTTGAAGGAAATCCACTTGAGCATGGAGACTGGGGATATTAGAAACAGTTAGTTATTATAATGAATTTATTACATTTAATCCCTCAATTTATATTTGCTGCTTTATCTTAGTTTCCTGCATTGTATTGAAACACTACTTGACATTAAGGATGAAATTACTATTTGTATGCAAAATGTACTTAAACAGCTTAACTACTTAATGTTCCTCTTTGGGTTTGAGATACATTAGAAACTTTTTACAGTACTGTAAGAAGGTTTTTTTTATATATATTTGAAGGTATGAATTGAACTGTTTTAAATTGTGCCTCACTAAAATCAAGAAATCTCATGTTTAATGTGTGATGGCTTCAGGTTGATCATGTGGAGAACATTATTTGGCCATCTTTAAACTTTGGTGATGCTCTTTACCTGAGGTAAAATTACATTTTAATTACATTCACAGGGAGAGTATTTTAATGCATATATTTAAAAGTGAGATAATGAAGGGGAATATTATTTAAAAAAAAAAAAAAAGGTATCATACATTGAAATGTTTTTTTTTTTTAAGTTTGAAACATTTTCCGGTTGAGCTCACTGTACTTACAGAACCTCTGTTTGGTTGATTTGTTCTTGCCGTTTACTGTAGGGTTGAAGTTTAAATAGCACCTTTATGTTATTTGCCTTTTATACAACATGTCATAATCTGTATTGACTTTAAAAGTGATGTTACCATTACACCTCACTGAAACAGCAGTCACTTTGTATTCATCATCCCACTGTATTTGTATTGTGCACTGGTCACTGTAGAGACTCTAGAGACTTTTAGTATATCTGAGATTGAAAAAACATTTCTCATTTTCATGATACACTTCACCTGAAATGTAACCTGAAAGTTTGATCACCCAGTACACGCAAAAACCTTTGACAGCAAAATTTGTTATTCCTGCTAGCCACTATACTACAACCGTAAACCTGTTTATGGCAGGGAACATGTTAAGATTAGTCCTAAGTAATGGTTGTCCACTTTCATGAGTTTCAGTAATGTTTAAGAAACATTGTCTTTAAGAACACAAGTCATTTCAGGGCAACACAATCAGAGAATTTGATTTATTGTTTGCTTTTTATGTAGTTATTCCTACTTTCACTTATCTAACTTGTTTTTAGGTTATGTCGTTCTGTTCAGGATGTGGGATGGGTTTCATTAAAAAAAAATCATCAATGTTTGTTGTATATCCATGTGCTCTACTCAACAATTCACAATAAGGTTAATTTGTTAAACATTATTTGCATCAGGTAACAAACTAAAAATGTTTTACAGCATTTATTACTGTAGGTTAATATTATTTAACACACTATTGTTAATTCATGTTTGTTCACTATACATGACCTAATTTATACAACTTGTTGAAATGGTAAAATGTATTGGTATAAGCAGAAATTTCCATTAACCTAGATCAGGGACAGTTTATCAACCATTTTGGATGATATTGGGAGTTTTTATTTATGTATCCGACCCGTGTTGGATAACTTGTTCATGCTCATTTCCCCAATTTTTACATTTAGATACCTTTTCTGTCATCTAATGCTCACATAAAGTACATTTTAAAATCTATTTCTTTTAAAAATATATTTAAATAACACTTAAATGTAATTTTTAGCATAAAAAACTACATTCATACATTGCAGTGTTGCAATGGAGCAAAATAATAGTACAGAATTTTAATATCAGCCTGTTATCAGTTATCAACCATAAAATGAAAATAATTTTTGGCTTATTGGTAATTGGCTAAAACTGTAATATCACTGCATCCCTAACCAAGATAAAAAGATGCTGTAGACGTGCTGTTCATTGTTAATTCACAATAGCTAAAGCATTAACTGATTAACATTATTGTAACAATTACAGTTAAAATGAAAAAAAGTGTATTTTATTTTTAATTGAATTGTTTAATCAAATTTGTTTTTTAAACTTTGTTTACAATGGTAAAATCCATATCACTGTTTATAAATTATTTAGGTCTATTTTCACTATGATAATTTTAGTCACAAGAATATAATTTTACTGATACAGCACAACGTCCTACAGGTAGGTTAAATTATGGATGCACTATCCAGGCTTTTGATTTACCTGTAAAGATACTTGTGTAGAATTGGACCATTGCCCCCCTGTTATCCTCTCTTGCTTTTTAACAACTTTTTGCTGACCTTCACCCCATTTTTTCCTCTGTTGCTTTTCCTATGCCACTCCCTCTCTAGCTCTCCCGTGGTTGTTCTCTTCTCCACACTCACTCCCCTATAGCAGCATGACGGGAGATAATTATAAAATCAATGGAGCCGGGCTGCCTGCTTTACGGCTTCCTCTAAAACCTTAACAGGGAAATCACTGTAGGATTGATGACTCCTTCACTCTTTATCTCTTTTAATTAGAAATGTAAAAGATATGAAGAGCCTGAGGCCATAGCACTGCACCCTGGCATTACAACATACTACCTGCTCTCTTTCCTTCCAGCCTTCCTTCCCTCTCTTTCCTTTTTTCTGTCTTTTAGGAAGCCACTGCCTTGGTTTCCTGTAGAGAATGTCTAACATATAATCTCTCCTTCTCCAGAACACCTCCAGCTAGAATCTTTTCTCTAACATTGGAAAGGCAAAAAAATATTATGGGTCATTTTGTATTTTATTACGAGTTGATTGAGCGGCATTAAACCAGTGTAGACTTTATGATCTTTTGCTGGGCAAGATATTACAGTCGTTCTTTTCTTTTACATCTTTATACATTTTTAGGGGCCAAGCACCGAAGGTGCGGAGGCACCTATTGTATCTGTGCCGGTTCTTATTATTATTATTATTATTATTATTATTATTCTTCTTCCGACTGGGCGTCTATGGCAGCCCATAGACCGGTGTGCGGGAAAGTTGTTTTGGTTTGACATTCTGATAGAGGACAGTCCCAACTTTAAATACACCAATTTTGGTGTCTCTAACTCATTCCCTCTAGCGCCACCAACTGTCCAAAGTTTCACTTTTATTATGCTAATAACTTTTGAACCGTAAGGCCTATCAACAAAATTCTTTTTTCCTCTTGTTCCTGAGCTCATGGCGATTCGATCGCACCCTATGACGTCATTTTCCGTCATAAAAAAATGGGCGCTATTTTGAATTTTCTAAAAAACCTACTTTTGCGAACTCGTCCTAGACCGTTTGTCTGATTTTCACCAAAATCGCACCGGATCATCTCCAGGCAGTGCTGACAAAAAGTTATGGAATTCAAGATGATTCGAATAACCGTTTTCGAAAAACGCGCAAACTAATTTTACGTAGACCTTGCAAAAACAGACGTGAGGCTGTATCTCCGCAACGCTTCATCCTATTCAGACCAAACTTGGTACATGTCATCACAAGCATGACCTGAGGCTACATGCAGCGTTTCGGCGCAGCGCCACCTAGTGGTCCGGAGATATGAAAAATGGCTATTTTTGCTCGTAACTTCTGAACGGTTTCTCCAAAAATCAAAAACTTGGTCTCGTTAGATTCAGGGCGTCATGCCGAGTCGACCGATATCCAATTTTCCCAGATCGGCCATTTTGGCTGTCGGCCATTTTGAATTATGTGCTAAAATGCTGTATTTTTTGAACGCATGAACGAATTGTTACGAAACTCGGTATGGGTCATCAGTACAATGCCCTGAAGGAGCCTGAGAAGTTTCGAAACAGCACCACCTAGTGGTGAATTGTTTTATTCAAATGCTTATAACTTTGGGTGTGGTACACTTATTTTCACGGGAGTCATATTTTTGAGGTCCTGAATCGTTGCCGAGTCCAACGATACCAAACATGTCGGGTTTCGTCTCACGGATGGCGTAGCGTAGCGATTTAGCGCGAAAAAAACACTTGGCGATATCTTCAAAACCGCTGTTCCGATCGAGACGAAACCATCGTCAGAAACACGGAATCATAGCTTGTTAACTATACGCTAATGCCCAAATGCAAAAATATTGATAGTAAGGGGTAGTAAAATTCAAACAAAGTCATGTGTCATTCATTTTTTACGTGTTTTTTCATATAAATGTTTATAACTCGGAAGCGAATTGAGATATTTTCACCAAAATTGACACACATATGTATGGGGTCACTCTGAGGGCACACACAAAAAATTGTGGGACTGAGCCTCTTGGTGGCGCTATAAAAGAACAAAACGTGAAATTCCCATTGACTTCAATACAGTTTTGTGAAATACAATGCTATACTAAATAAATGCTTTGGTCTAACATTACGAAACTCAGTGTGTGCCATAAGCAGCATGCCCTGAAGGTACTCAAAAGATTTTGAGACAGCGCCACCTGTTGGTCAAAAGTTATAATTAATTTCTGAGAACGCTAATAACTTTTGAATAAATTTGCCTATTGCAATGAAACTGATCTTAATAGATTCCTTGGGTTATGCCGAAAACATAGATATCAGGTTTTCCATAATCAGACAAACGTCCTGTTCGCCATCTTTATTTCTTTGAAAAACCTTCTTTTTCGAACTCCTCCTAGACCGTTTGTCCGATTTTCACAAAAATTGAATCGTATCATCTCCAGACCGTGCCGACTAAAAGTTATGAATTGCACAATGATAGACAAAACCGTTTTCGTATACCACAGCATCAAAGTTTAGGCATGCTGCCAAAATTACTATTTAGGCTTTTTCTCTGCAATGCCTTCACATTTTGACACCAAACTTTGCATGTGTCATTGTCACCTCACTCTGACCACATCACATCTATTTCGTAACTGCACCACCTATTGTTCGAAAGTGATAACCCATTAAATCATCTTATAAGTTAATGTTTATGTGATTTTCTTAGCCATTTGCCCAAAGTTCTCTCAAAATGCCCTTAATTGCTCCTTGCTGCAGTTGGTCTGCCACTCCTTGCCATTTTGGCATATGTTGCCGCTTATTGCGCTTGGCCCCGGTAATGGCTGCTTGCAGCTATATTTTTTGAGTTGTTTCTTTCTCTTTTTGTTCGAACGCTTTTATTCCTCACTCTCATTCTGATTTTCTTTGTGTCGCATCTTAGAGGGTTAGTTCACACAAAAATTAAATTTCTGCCATTAATTACTCACCCTCACATCGTTCCAAACCAATAAGACCTTTGTTTATCTTTGGTACACAAATTTAGATATTTTTGATGAAATCTGATTTCATCAGCCATAGACAGCCACGTTATTAAAAGGATAGTACACTTTGAAATTAATTTTTGATACGTTTTAGCTTACCTCAAGGGCATCCAAGATGTAGGCATCTTTGTTTCCAGAGTATTTTCAAATTTGATATTTTTCGGTCAAACCGGTGTTGAGCTAAAAACTATTCTGAATACCTTAAAAATAATTGCATAGCAACACCCTCACGAGCTGAGAGAAACAACAAGATACTGAAAACATAAAACTGATATTGCTTTGTTTTCTCAATGCAAAATTAAAAACAAAATAAAATGTTATTTTTCCCACACACCTTATTATAGCAGCTTTGATGGTTTGATAAAAGTCGGTGTTTGTCACTATTATAATATACTGAGAGCAATATATAAAGCACACGGTACAATATGTAATTGTGACTTTTTCTCAAAATGAATAATTCATTCTCATAATTATCATGATTTTGTAGATCAACATAAATTGAGTTATAAAGCAAAATATAAAGCCATAATTATGAGGTGGTGAAGCTGTCCTTCTTGTATTCAAGCATAAAATGTTGAGATTTAGGGTCATAAATGAGAAATAAATTCAAAGATTTCAAGTTGCAGTTGTTGTGAAATGTAAAAATGCTATTTTTTTAACACTAGGGTAAATTTTATTGTATAGGGGAGACAAAAGGAGGCAGCAATCGACCATAATTCATGCTTGCAAACTCCATGGCAGCAGGTTTTGCCAAGGCATCCACAACTACTCCACTAAAAAAAAAACAGTTCTCTTCATTTTTTTCATTGATAACCATGTAGATGGCTTTAATCAGAATGAATGGATGAATCTCTCCACGTGTGCTTTCTTTGTTGTTTTTGTAATTTGAACAACTGCAGCCTAGACATTGTTCTATCCATTCATTATTGCTCTTTTCTCCTTCATTTAACTCTCATTACTCTCAGCACTATGCACTAAACACCACAGGAAGCAGAGCATGTTTGCCATGGATAGAAAAACATGTCCTGCCTCTTTAAATCCATCACCTCAGCCTATCTGCC